AGGCTGATGACACAGGATGTGTTTGTACTGGTTGCTGAGAACTGCCTCTCGATGTCGTAGTGATGACATGCACACATGAGACAGGCTCCTATAATGCTATGCAATGCTTTTCTTTTTCAAAGCCTCCCACTGCAATGCAATGAAGATTCTTAACACAGAGAGGGCCTCACGAGACTCGCACTGAGTGAAAATTTTCAGATGTGCCCAAGTGTTGGACAGGTGGGGCATAAGAGCACATGTGAATCTGTAGCTTACCACCATCCTCTGGCAAGGTGGTTCACAATTTCGCTGTACATTTGCCAAAGGACTAACACCATCATCAGTAAAGTTTTCACTACGTTATTTACCTCCTTTCTCAAGCATTTCTGAGTGTGCTGAATAGTACAGTCTCCGGTCAGATGCTTTTTGCACTCTGTTGAAGACCCTTCTGCATTGTGAAAGCTGGTAATTTCCTCCTTCCCTACGTTGTATGTATCTCATTCAAGAGTTATGAATCAGTGCACAGACTTTTCCGTTTAGCCCAGAAGAGGTGTTGGATGGAGTCTACCTGTACACACCTTGTCTACACACATGAAGAACTCCTTCAGAGGTGTGAGACATGATTGTCCCTGACAGAGCTATAGTGACCTTTTGTTATTGTTTTGCTTTTTTTCCCTTACATGGCATAGAAGAATATGTAAATTAAATACATTTCTATACAGGTATATTCAGAAACGATGTGTTGTTTGCATCCTTTAACATGGCACATTGGGTTCACTAATTTGATTCCTCTGCTGGAGATTCTATTACCATGCCTGGCATCGACGGTATGCTTACTGTTTTATAGTTCCTTAAATACCCCCTGGAACTCCTGTTAAAAAAAAAAAAAAAAAAAAGTAATTACTATTACAATTATTTCTCCTCTCTTTGCCTTTCTCTTTCTGCTAATTCAGTAGCTTCATGCTTTCAGACATTCTGCCTCGCTCCAAGGTTACAGAAATGTTACAGGAAAAATATTTTTTACTGTAGCCTCTCAACAGCCTGGGAAATAAATAGTAGAGCCAGAGGCTGCCATTTATGATGAAGTCAACACACCAAATCACAGCTTTTCAAATTTCTTTTCTATAGACAACTGATTATGTTGTTGTAGTATAAAAATTTTGACTGCAAATAGCAATCCATCTTCTTTTAGCCAGACTCCAGGCTGAATGGATGGAGCTAGACTCATGCAGGTGGTGGAATTAAGCAAAAAAATAGTCTGCTATGAAAAAGTATGACCACTGATGACCTGATGTATGCTCCAAATAAGAGATCACATTGGGCACCAAACGGAAACCATGAATTTATTATTCTCTGCTTAATATAAAGTACTGAAACCATAGTGGAGGCAGGGAATGGAAGTGGGAGAACCACAATCCTGTGCATACGCAGGCTCATACAGAGTACTCTGGTACTGGTGCTTGGGTTAAGAAAGAAATGTGCTAAAGGGGTGGGAGAAATATGCTGCACAAAATAGATTACAGTCCAATGTTTTGGATAATTTCCTTTAAATAGGTGATTCCCAGCAGAATAAGTGTCTTTGCATGCCCAAGAAAGCATTCAGGACATTACTCTGCTAGACATAGGGGCACATGATGGGAAGCAACTCTACTTGTGTCTTAAAACCAGCAGCTGGAAATGCACATTAAAAGATGCTGATCCAGTTTTCAAGGGTTTACTCAATCTCTGAGAACAATTATTGGACTGAGCTTGGAAAGGTGAAGGTGGATGAATACCATACCTGGCCTAGGTAAGAGAATGCACAAAGTCATCAATGTCTTAGGTGCTGGGACAGTTTGGGGTTTGGGTAGAAGTAATATGGTGGACAACTGAGGAAGATTCACGGAAGCAATGTGACCCTCAGAAGAGGGCGAACTGGTAGCTTGCAGGATGGCTGCACAGGCCTTCGATGCCTTGCTGTGGTTTAACCTCAGGTGCCTTGGTGCTCTGCAAGCCCTGCTCTGTAGTAATGGAAACATTCCTGTTTTCAGCACTAATCCGAAACATAGCCCCACACTAGCCACTCTAAAGAAAACTAACTCTATCCCAGCCAAAACCAGTACCTGCCTTCATTATGCAAATTGCATTTAAAAAGCTTCAAACCTTGTTCAGTTTATCTTGCCAGACCTTTGTGCTCTGGTTTATTTGTAAAACAGGTAGAGCTATATGTATCATCAGTAACGTGGTTTGAAAGGACTGTGGAAAAGGTGTATTCCAGATAGCTGATGCTGGACTCAAAACAAGAGTGGCAAGTGAGACATGCCATAAAAAGGCAGAGCAGAATTGGGAGATACAGAATGCCACAGGACAGAAGTTACAAAGAGTGTTTTAAAAGAGGTTAAAATAAGGCCAAATTCTATCTCTAAGCTATGAAGTAAAAATCAATTTCAAATAATCCTTAAAAGGAACAGATTTTTATTCGAGATTGTGTGGATATTTCTATGCTAGAGATCAGGAGCTGTGCCAGCGTTTGTTATCACAGTATGCAGGAAACCTGCAAGAATGCAAATTTGTTAGATTAGATTTCCAAGTCCCACATGCTGGGTAATCCACAGAATCACAATAATGGATGTGTTTATTACAGACCAAATGACACAGAGCGTACTCAGGGCCTAGAGAGCTTTCTTCTGATGAAGCATAAAGAAATGCAAATGCTGTTACTAAGATTGTGTCTGGGATTTAAGCTTGTGCTACCAAGAAACCAACAGTATTATTGGGGTGAGAAGAAATATCCATTTTAAAAGAGAAATTCTATGGAATTATAAATCAGTGGCAAAGTAACGACAATGCTCCTTGAGTTAAAAAAAGCACCTATAGGGATACTGGACAGGTATAATTTAAAAATCAATGTATCCCTTAAGCGGAAAATACAGAGAGCCTAGAAAAATTAAGTTAACTGTACGCCAGTTCTAAGTCAGCTCTACATTGGCTGTCTTGATCTGCTCACACACAAAACTCTGATTATTTTTGTTTTCTCTGCTTTTCCTCCTTATATGTTAGCAGAGTTATCCTTCGTGATCATTTCTGACTAGGAGTGGTATGTCTGTGCACCTCATCACAGCATGACTGGAAAACCTCACTCAGCAACTGAATGCAATGAGAAGCTTTTTCTCAGAAACTTGGAAGTTTAGGTCCATAGCTGCTGAAACACTCGGGCTTTTAGTCTGAAGAGTTTCCTGCATCTTTTGCTTGCAGAGGCAAAGCCCAAGGGCCCTCTTTAAAAAAAAACAAACCCAAACAACAAAGGAGTTATGCAGGGAGCATTTTCCACTGAGGTATGACTGGGGAGGAAGGAAATGGTGTGACACTGATGCATGTCCCGGAGTGAGGGGCTCACGAGGCAAGAGAGAGCTGTGACACAGTAAATTCCAGGCTGGCACAGCACAGCCAGCACAGGCACTCAGGCCTTGCTGCCAGGCACAGAGGCCCAGGAACACCTCTGTAGGAAAGAGCAAACTTTGCTTTTCCATTGCAGCATGAGAGGCAGAGAGTAAGAAAATGCTGGATACTGGAAAAACAACACAGCTAGGGCTTTGCCTGCCTTGTTCCCAGCCCATCCACCTCCTGTGGCTCCCTCCCGATCTTGGTGGCCCCTCACCTCTGTGGGGTGCAGGGGAGAGCCACAGGAACCTTCCAGGGGCCAGGAGGAGCTTGCCCTGGGGGACAGAACTGAGGGGATTTTCGGCAAGGGCATGTAGTGATGGGAAAAGGGGTAATGGCTTTGAAAAGGCAGGTTTCGATTAGATATTGCAAAGAAGTTCTTTACTGTGAATGTCATGAGGCAGCGAAACAGATTGCCCCATCTCTGGAATTGTTCAAAGCCAGTCTGGATGAGGCTTTGAATATCCAGCTCCAGTGGGAGGTGTCCCTGCCCACGGGAGGGGAGTATTGGTCTCTTCTCCCAGGCAACCACCAGTAGGACAAGATGGCACGGTCTTCTGCTGCGCCAGGGGAGGTTTAGGTTGGGCATTACGAAGAAGTTCTTACGGAGAGAGTAACTGGGCATTGGAATGGTCCGCCCAGGGAGGTGGTGGAGTCACCGCCCCTGGAGGTGTTTAAGAAGAGACTGGACGTGGAACTGAGTGCCAGCTGACGAGGCGGAGTTCGGTCACCGGCTGGACTCGACGCCCTCAGAGGTCTTTCCGAAGCTGGTCGATTCTGTGACCGCTAAGGTCTCTTCGAACCCAAAGCGTCCTATGGCTCTATGGCATGTGTATGTATGTATGTATAAATGCATATATATATGTATGTGTGTGTGTACTCTAACGTGTACTCTACACGCGTGTACGCGGTTACGCAGACACCGCCACGCAGCGCGCAGGCGGGGCCGGCGCGGGCTGTCCCTCGCCGGCCGCCGTGGCGCTCACGTGAGCGGCGTCACATGAGGGCGGCGGGCTGGGCCGGGCCGGGCGGTGCGCGGAGCTCCCGGCGCTGCGAGGGCCGCCCGCGGCCGCCTCTCCTTCTCCCTCTCCCTCCTGCCCTCCCTCCTGCCCTCCCACGGCCCCCGCGGTGAGTGACAGCTGCACGGGCCCTGGGGCGGTGGGGTTCGGGCTGTGCCGGGCCCCGTGTCTGCGGGCAGTGCAGGGAGCGGCGGGACGGGGCCGGGGCCGGGGCGTTTCCCCCCACCCCGTTTCCCAGGCGTCTCTCGGCTCCTTCGACTCAACTGCAGCTCCTGTACTGCTGGAACCGGTGCTGCCGACTGTGCCCTCGGGGGGTGTTTGAGCGGCTCTCAGGGGGTTATCGAAGGACGTGGCGGTACCGCCTTTTGGGGGTGTCTGCTCATAGAGGTGGTTTCAAAGGGAGGAGACTTCTGCTCCTCTGTTTGTCCAGAATAGTTCCTTTCTTTTTTTTTTTTTTTTTTTTTTTTTTTTTTTTTGTTAGAATCGTATTTTACTTCAGTCACACAAACGAGCTGTGCTTGCTCGGGGCAGGGCAGAATGTGCCAGTTTGCCCCCTCTTGTAAGGGGGGTCAGAACAGTCCAGAAACAGGCTGCATGGAGAGGCTTCGTGCAGTTTAGGTTGTAAAGAATTCCGGCTCCAGCTGGGTCTGAAGGCTCTGCAAACACGCTTCTTGTTTTGGCATCAAAGTCAGGTGGTGATTAAAGGAAGGAGGAAGAAGTGGTGAAGGTCACTGCCTGTGGTATGTGGTGTATTCTGATGAAGAGCTTCTGTTCATATTTAGTTTTAGATTTGCTTTCTGTACAGTAATGATCTTAATGTTCTTGTTTGTCTGTGTAGCGTGAGTTTTAATTTATATACTTACAAGGTTTTTTTTTTCTCCTGAAATTGTAGTTCACATATTTCTAATGTCTAAATACGCTTAGACAAATAGGGGAAGTAAATTAGTCCTAATGTGTGAGTGTGGAGAGGGTACGCATTCAATTTTAGCCATGCTTTGGAAGGAAGATAACTTCTGTTATCTGTAGGGCTACTTGGATGTTGCAGAAGAGTAGCCTTTATTCAAATAACTTCTTTTCATTGTTCAAGGAATTACAAGACTGGAAGTTATTTAGTAATGGTATATGTCTTTTATTTTAGCAAACTTATGATTGGCTACAGTTTAGTGTGTAGGTATGGCTTATTTTTGTTTCAGGTAATGCACATTTTAAATATTTCATAGAACTTTGATTTCTCAGAAAGTACTTAGTACAGTTTTAGGGAATGGGATACCTGAAAACAGATTTTTATTTGTATTTCTTTAAAATATTGGACAGATACTCTGGTCTTTAATACTGTAATAAGAGGTCTCAAATCTGACTTGCATTTCTAGGTACATTTTAATTACCGGTCAGGATGGATATCCGAGGTGCTGTAGACGCTGCTGTCCCAACAAACATCATTGCTGCCAAAGCTGCTGAAGTTCGGGCAAACAAAGTAAACTGGCAGTCGTATCTCCAGTAAGTAAAAATTTCCCATGTACTCTTTCTCTCTTAACGTTAGACTTCTTGAGATTTTACGCTGAATTGGAACATCAGGTTGCAGCGAAGAACGTTCTGTCTTAATTCCATGGAAGTAGTTGGTAAAAGTCCACATTAAACAGAAGGGGTTGTGGAATTTTTTCTTATGACTTATTACCAGAAGAGGAACAAAGTTTGCATAAATGTGTGGTATAACTGTCCATTTTTTCCCTCCTCATTCAAACACCATTCTCAAGTTTAGCCTTGTTGGATGAATACTGAATTAAGAAAAGTTTGTGGTAATAATTGTTTTATATGGAGGTCTGTTATCTCAATTGCTGAAGTGCTTTTTGTGGGATTACAAATTGTACTAGCAAAACTGGACTAGTAGTCCAGGAAAATAGACAGTACTTTAAGTAAAGGAAGAGCAGTACTGGAGAGCAGTTGAAGCAAGTAAATCAGGGAGTAGGCTGAAACAAATACTTTGGTGTGGGGAGAGCTGTGCTGGTGTTTCAGGTAAGCTCAGAGTTCACTTTGACTTGGTTATGGTGGCACTAGGAGTAGCAAGAGAAATAGTGTCCTAAGAGGATATAAGGACAAACTGAGGAAGATAGATTTATGCATGAAGTAGGGAACAGGGAGCAGAAACAGACTTTTAGTGGTCCTTTGTACTCCGAAGTGAAATGCAACATTCTTGCAGCCCTGCCTTTCTCATGAGAAGAACCTATAAAAATAATGACAAACTGTAAATTGCCATTATCTCATGAGGGCCCACGTATATTAGCAGATTACTTCATAGTTCATTGCTCTGTAACGAAAGTGACAGAAATCTTCATGACTGTAGAGGTACAAACCATACTGATGATGTTTTGTGATTATCAACATTACACCACTTAAAAAATTGTTTTTCAGATCGCTGTCATACATATGTAAATAAATGTTTTATATTAAGGAAACCTACAAGACTGTACATACACATGCAGGCTGAGAAATGCTAACCCAGTAGGAGCTTACTAATGACTTCCTGCTTGCCCTTTCCTGTGTATCTCAGACTTGCTTATTCCATACATTGAATTGTGTTATTTTTATCCTCTTTGTGTTGTATATCTGCATTATAAATCTGGATAAAGGAACTGATCTACTGAGGGAACTTCTCTTTCTAGGCTGTTTTTAAGATGGATCAGTTCTTGGTTCAGTTTATAGGGTGGTCCTCCAGTGGCTTTGCAGGCAAGAGAGGAAGCTTGGTGTGGTAACTTGACAGTGGCAGCTACCAAGCAGTTTTCAAATTATGGCTTTTGCTGTTACCGTGTGCCCTATTATCCATCTGGTAGGAAGTGTGTCCTGAGGAAGCCTGAGCAGCTGTTCCTGTGCTGTCCTAGTGGCAAGTTTGCAGTGACTTGTGATGAAAGGGAGAGTACAGTTGTGCACTGCTAATATAAGTGAACATGAGACTCTTTCACTGCTTCTTTGGTGGTTTTTACTGTAGGGCTGGTGAGATTAATCTGTTGCTTTTGTTGGTATAAGAGATGGTTCTGTTTGACAAGGAGTTGTATTTTGAATATTAATGTAGTAATATTTGTTTGACTATGCTTTTTATAATTTTCATTCATTCTTGGGATTCTCTTTCTCCGGTGCTGTATAAGGATGGGGGGAGTTTTGTTTATAAATCTTTCACCACATTTTTTATAGCATCTTACCAAGAGGCAGGATTCCTTTTCAGGATTCTACCTGTAGAATTTGACTTTGTTTTGGTTTTGAATCTGTGAAAAAAAATATATATCTATTTCCTGTCTTTGAGTCAGCCAAGTTCTGGAGGCTATTGTAGTCCATCTGGCTAGTGTTTTTTGCCATCAGATTGTGAGACTGCTTGATGCTTGGTGCACTTTGTATGTCAATGACAGTGTGTCCTCTTTGTTTTTGCTTTGAACTGAATGTAATCTTTCTGTCTTGTATTAACTGATAGCAACCTGTCTATGTGGGGCTGAAGTAGCTCAAGGATTGACTTAAATGGTGCCAGAGGGATTGTGGAACATTGTGAAGTAACTGTAGTTCCTTGACTTAGAAGTTTTCTTATAAATAGTTATTGAAGAACATCAGCAGAACTTTTTGTGCTTCTGAAGAGGAAGTAAAATCCTAGCTTCTGTTGGACATGCCCTTTTTACAATGGACAGGCTTGGATGTGATAGTGTCTTTGAGGCTGAGCTTTAAGGGATTTCTTGAAAAGTCAGTCAGTGCAGCTGTATCGGCTCATTTGTAGAATGAAGCACATTACTGCATGAGTGGAAACTTTATTCTGATGCACCTGTTAGAGGCAGCTCAGATTGATGTGTTTTTGTTCTGTAGAGCAGAAGGAAAATGCAGTCCTGGTGACTTGGAAGGACACTTCTCTTTCTTTTGAGCTCCTTGTTCTGACAGCTGATGCACTTAGTGTGGTACACTTGCATATAAATAAATGAAGGCACGCTTAAGTCTTCAGATGTTTTTACATTAGAGGAAATATTTTTGTTTTCTCTAAGTTCTTAACACATCAGGCATCACATAATTTGTGCTCCTTAAGCTGTAAGTAGTATTTATTTAATTGAAGTCAAAGAACTTTACAAGAAATTCTGATGAAATTTTTTTCCCCCTGGCTGTGGCAGTTGTATCTGTGTATAAAGATGCTTTAAAGGTTGCATTGGTTGCAACAGCTTTGGAGTCTGGGTCACACAGTAAGGTGTTCTGAAGTTCTTTTCTGCTCTCTCTGTTCTTCAGTGCAAAAATAAAGTGGCTCACCAGTAGCTGGTCAGACTGTAGTAGCCTGACTTCTCTTGTAGAGCTAGTTCAAGCTAAAGATTAACTGACATAGTGTTTATTCCACCTCTGAAGGTTGTAACTGTAAACTAAGTATCAAACTATGCTAACACACATCTGCTGACTTCTGATGTTTTTTCTGTATATGGTTGGCACAAAAGTCAGGTACTTAGGTATGACAACTGTATATATTATCAGTTTGCTAGTGTGTTCACTGCTCCCTACAAAATTAGGCTGTGGAAAGAGACAATTTGTTTCCTGGTGCTAAAATTTAGCCTTTCTTTGTGTTGAATTTAAGCTAGCATCTGTGCCTGAGGGAGAAGGAAGTAGCAAAACTAGGAGCAGTGGAAGGTGAAGTGTAGGTCTGCCAACCTTTTGGAAACTAAATGTAGTTGAAGGCATTAGTTCTGTACGGACTTTTTTGCCTTTGGATTTTGGGACTTGTAGCAGTTTTGAGGCATGGATGCCTTTTGTGGGTTGAAAATACAGTAGGTGACTGTTTTGTGGTTGCTTTCAGTGTTTGCCTCAGGGTGTCAGGATGCCTTTGGGGAGGGTGTGTTGGCTTGCTTTCTAAGGGTAGTAAATGAGTTCTGTAGAAAAATGAACTTTTTACAGAATTTACCTTGCATCTTATTGCACTGTAGGTTTTCTAGATATACAGCATTTGACAGTACTTCATACTTAATCAGGTGAGATACCTGTTTGCTAATTTATAAATAGCTTCCCGTGTGTCTTCGAGTACTTCACGTACATGTTTGTGAATTCTGATGTTAAAATATCTATTCTATGTTCCTGGGAGTGGATGAATTTTCTAAAGTGGTTGAATATCTCAGACTTTGAAAGGCAGTCTTGCATTAGAGGAAATACAGAAGTTTCCTAATTTGTAGTGTGTGGTTTTGGTTGTTTTTCTTTAAATCTGGTCTAGTCTTGTGGAGTACATTCAGCCTGTTTTACTGTTTTAAGTTTGTATATGTTAAAACTGTTGAGCAGTTGTATGAAATGAGTGTTTCTAGGTACATGCAAAGTACTATAGAAACCTGGATAAAAGAAATTATGGCTTCATGTGAGCTTCATATTTGCTGCAGATGTAGTAATTTTTTTATATTAAAAACAACAACAACAAAACCAACCAACCAAAAAAACCCCTAAAAATCCAAAATAAAAATGAAACAAAATACTCTCACCTCCAGAGTGTCTTTGGTTAAATCATTCAAACAAAAAAAAAGGGAACAAAAGCTACTGGAGGAAATGCATAATTAAAAGAAGGAGTCACAAGTTCCTGAATCATATTGAGAGACCAAGAGGTTTTAAAAATGGTGGCCTTGCAAATTCATGCTTTCTAAATCTTTTCAGTTTACTCTCCTGTAGCTGGTGTTCTCAAAGGCAGGTCTCGGTATCTCAAGCACAGAGCTTTGAAATGGGGTTCCAGGGTTCCTGGTCTAAACCTGATATGCTCAGACAGCCTGTTGTGGTTTAACCTAGCAGGCAGTTAAACACCAGACAGCTGCTTGCTCACTCCTCACCCACCACAAGGGGGTGGGGAGAGAATTAGGGGGGGAAGGAAAATTCATGTGTTGAGATAAAGAGGTTTTAATAGGACAGAAAAGGCAGGGGAAGTAATACTACTACTAATATAAAATAACAACAACAAAAGGATTTATATTAAAACTAGAACACAGCACTGTGCCAGCCATTGGGAAGACTATTAACTCTCTCCCGGTTGAAACCAAGGCACTGCTGAAGCTCAAAGTGACTTCTGTCTGTTCACAAAAGACTGTTAGACACATCCTGGAAAATAACAAATTGAATTCCTGTTAGGGATAGAAGGAAGCTTTGGTTACTCGTTTTTGTAAAGGTGCAGAGAAAATTCCTTTCTCTTTGAAAAGAGGATGAGGAGGATGTGTAATAGGATCATGGGACCTGATACCAGCTGTCTTAGGCTGCTTTGCATTTTCTCGTGGTTTGTTGTTGGGTATTTTTCTCCCCTCCAGTGGTTGCTGAGGTTTACTACATAATCAATTATTTCAGTATTAAAATGAGAGGAATGGAAATAGATGCATTTGAAATTACTAAAACTATTAATCATATGTATGAGTTCCCTGATAAAATATTAACAACTGGTTTACAAAGCTGTCAGATCCCTTGTAATGTTTTGTATGGGTTGGAAGTTGTCCTTTTGAATGGTGCTAATAAAGCAATAAATAGTAAATCCTAATGTCTTTTTTTCTCAAGGCAATATCAATCCCCACATCTTTTTTTCTTTATTTTTTTACCCTGTGGTCTAATGTAAGATAAAATCCAAAACTTGAAAGCTTTTTTCCTTGGCAGTTGGCAGACCTCTTCTAATAGCTTGGCTATAAAGAAGCATCTCTCTTCATGAGGATTTCTCCAACATTAAAGCTGAAAATTAAGAATTTCACCTTATGTTGGCTTTGAAGTGTTTTGTAAGTGGCAATTTTCTTATAAACAATCAACTTATCTTGTTGCTTTTATATCAGTATGATCCATCCATCCGTGGCTTGGCCAGCATTGTTTGAAGCATATGAAGCTTCTAGTTATGGGTCGTTTAATCCAGTATTTGTTGCAGGTGAATTGTTGTCATCTTTCCACAACTACTCAAATCCATCCTAAACAGAGAAGAAAGAATATTGGTCCATCTAAAAGGCATGTGTTAGCGGCATGGTCATCATCAGCTAATCATATATAGTTCATCTATACTTAGTTATGGTTTTGTAGAAATTAGTCGAGACTACCCTACCACTGGCTTTGTGAGTCTTCCATCTAGTAAATCTTAATTGCCTTTCTTCAGTGCATATGAGGATAAAGCAGCTGGAATACAGGAATAGCACACGTGGTACTAGGCTATTTATGTTCTTTGCTTGAATAGTAAATTGGTAAAATATGACTCTGTGATGGGGCCATACTCATGACGTAATCATTTAAGAAAGATGAAAGATAAGAACACATTGTAGATCTTATTTGTTTCTGTATGTCAAGAATCCAGGTGAGCCAATTGGAAAAAAATAAAAAGGGAACATTTCCTGTAAGTTTACAAGTATTTTAATGTAACCTCTAGTCATGGAACATCTGAAAAGTGACCTTGATGTGGAAAAGATAGGTTAAAAGAGTCCATGCTACATGGCTTTGCAAAGTGGAAGAGGCATTTGATTCAGTGGAAATATTAAGAGGAGATGAGTCTTGGAAATAACTGAATCAGAGCAATGTCTAATGCTTTCATCTCCAGTGACTTTTGTATTGATGATGATGTGCACAGTTTTCTTCTTTCCTGTAGCACCCCTGGTATTACCTAGTACGGGCAGTCATCTGTTAAAGTCTTGGATATTTTTAGGACTAATTGATTTACAACTAGTGTTCTTACCTGAAGAGTATCTGATTGTACTGTTTTGGCAAGTTTGTTATTTCTTGTGATGTTCAGGTACTGTGAAACTACCAGGAAAAGCTGAAGAGTTGTAATTAGCAAAAGATAAATTAGCGACCCTGTTCTCTGTCCTCCTTCCAAGTCTCTCCAGTGCTTATGGTAAACTTAAAATAACAATTAGTTTTGTTTTTAGCACTTATTTCGTTGGATTAGACTGTTATTCATGTTATGTGCTATAATCTTCTTCCACATATTCTCAGTCCTGTCTCATGGCTACTGCTGCACAGCAGCTTTTACTCCTTAAATATATTATCACAGAAATGTTACTGTCATCACTGAGTGGCCCAGCTTTGGCTCGTGGTGGGTCTGTCCTGAATCTGACTGGAACTGGCTCTGTATGACATGGGGGACACTTTTGCTGTCTTCTCATAGCAGCCACCCATGTAGCCCCCCGCTACCAAAACCTTGCCAAGTGAACCCAGTACAGTTACTTCAAACTTACTGTTTGTGTTACTTACGGTTTCATTTTCATTGGTTTTGTTTTTCAGAGGGCAGATGATTTCAGGTGAAGACTGTGAATTTATTCAAAGATTTGAACAGAAAAGGAGTCCAGAAGAAAAACAGGAGTTGTTGCAAACAGAAGGCAATCAAGTAACTTTCCTTTCTTTTAATGGTCTCTCTTTTGAGGAGGAAGATGGAAGGAAGTTTTCATAGTAATTCTTGTTTTATTGTTGGTTGTATACAGTTAAGATGTAATGGAATAAGTATAAAGCTTACTATAATGATTCTTTTTTTTTTTTCCCTTGGATATAGGTTGGATGTTATTTTTTAAACCTATTCAGTAATTATCAAATGTCGTCTGACTTTAACTATGTTTTGGGACAAGCCAGCTCAAGTCTTTCCTCATCCCAGTTTACTTAATCATGCACACTTGTACTTGAGCCACTTTCTTAAAGCTTTTTTCCTTATAGTTTATTGATGTTGGCTGCTACCAGTGAGATTTCTGCTTAGTTAGCTCAGTAATAATAATTTAGTTCCAGCAATGGAATCCACTGACTGCTAAGGTGGATTCAGTTAAACACAGGTGTCTAGTGTCATTTTAAACACGGTAAGATACGATATGAGGCATCTGCATGGGACAGAACTGGTTCAGGACTGAATCAGCCCTTAGCCCTTATGGAGTCCAGGCAAGATGCCCAAAAACACTTTATTGACATTTGAATCAGTAGAATCTCAGCCTTGAAACCTGAGGTTCTAGCACACAATATCAGACATCAAGAGGATTGGGAGAGGCAGAGAGTTAGGTGAAGAGTAGATGCTTTTAAGATACACTACTTTCCAGCCTTTTTTTTCTACTTTAATTTTAGGGTTTTCTGTGTTTTGGTTTTTTTTTTTTTATTTTTATTTCCTCTCTAAATTGTATTGTGTGACTGTTTATGTAATGGACCATAATTTGTGTTGTAGCAAACGTGTATGTGGTGTACATTTTATGCCACTGTATAATTGTGATGTAGCAGTTCAGAGTTCCATTTCTCTTTCAGTTTTAGGTTGCATGTAGTGAAGGGGAAGGAGGGAGTAGTGCTGAAACTATTTCAGCCTGTAATATCTGTTGCTGAAATTGTAAAATAATATGGGAGGCACAGCACAAATAGGAACAAGGTATATAGTAAGTGAAGAGATGAGAGTGACCTATCTTCCTCCCTCCCATTCATGTTGCTGAAGCCTTCTTGTACTATGTCTGAGTTTGTTGCTCTCCTGTCAATTTACTCAGATCTTCCCACTGCCATAGAAAAGGACGCTGAGGGAAACATTTCTAATCTGACTTTCAACAAAGCATCTCAGTGACTTTCCCTAGCGGGTACTTATTTCATTTGAAAGCCATAAAATAATTTGTAAAGGGTAACGATCAGTGTGACAGAAAATTTTCTTTGTGAGATAATGTCAAATGTATTCATCTCTTACTGCAATTAAGTAAGATGTTGGGATGCTCAATGGTTATGTAAGACTTAACTGTGAATTAATGAGGTCCTGTATTATATTATCAAAAGGAATGAAGACAATTGCTAATATTAATTTTAATGTTTCTCTTATTTTTCTAGTGTGCTAAAACATTTATAAACTTGATGACTCATATCTCCAAGGAACAGACTGTTCAGTACATTCTGACTATGGTTGATGATATGCTGCAAGTAGGTCAATAACCTGTATTATTTTTAAGTCTTTAAATGCATGCTTGAATGTTTCCTTCATTTATGTCTCTTCAGATGTTTGTCATGCTGTGTTAAAAATATTCTTTTAAATTTTCAGATCTTGTCTTCAGGGATTAAATGCTGGATCTAAAGTTGTAAGGATAATTTAGTCATGTGTGTGTGTATATATATATGTACATGTTTAAAATCTGGAAATAAAACATACCTGTATGCATGTCTGTGGGTTCTCAACCTTGTTTAATGCAGAACTGGGATGTTAAGGCTGGTATTGCATAGCAGTTTCTTTTATGTGATCCTGATTTGCAGAATTTTTTTTAAATGCTTTTTGGACTTATTGTACTGGCATATTTTGTGGTGGACCTGACAGTGTTAGGTTAATAGCTGGATTTGATGATCTTAAAGGTCTTTCCCAACCTAAATGATTCTAAGATTCTGTGACCTGTGCCCTCCGCCTTTCCTGTTGTCTAAAAGTTCTAACTTGAAGTTGTTGAGGCTTTTCCTATGAAGGTGTTAATTTGGCCACCTTCAGCAAGAAAGTGTAGTTTCTGCAGCTTCAGGTTTCCAGAAAAAGTTAGGTTAGTTATGTACCAGGAACTTTTGAATTAATGTAGTATACAGGTCTTTGTAGCTGTGGGATACAGAGGCTTATGAGAGTAGGCTATAAATTTGGTCTCAGGACTGCTGAGCTGACTGGGACAACTGAAGGCGAGGCTTTGCTCAGTCAGATAATCCTGCTTTTACATTTCCTTGCTCTGAAGTAGGCTAAGAGAAGTATTTGGAGTGATGATGTAACAAGATGAGTTGAGTTGTGTGAGTTTTTCTCCTGGTATTCACATAAACTATCTGTGTTTGACAGTTTCTGTTATATTTGATATGAGGTGACAGTGAAATGTATCTAATGATATTGGTTTAGGTCATCACCCTAGGATGTTCACCATGGAGGTGAACCATGTGAGTTCTGATGCCAACTCTGAGCATTTAGTATTTCAACAGGCAAGTTGAAAAGTGTGAACCACTCCACAGTACGTATAACATGGGGTTTCTTTCAGGCACTTGTCTGCATAATAGAGCCCTTAGTGAGTGCCCTGACATCTAGGATAATAGCTAGTGGTGGTGACAGTTTATTTATCTGTAGCTTTGTCACTCTGACCTCTTCCTCTTTAGATTTACTTTTTTGCAAGTGTGGCACAAACATCAAGAAGGAGAGAAGACAAAAAGGAGCCTCAGTGTCATGTGTCATTTCTTGATTATCACACTGAGTTGGGAGTACCTTGTTTTGGTTTTCATTTAGCATTTGATGACAAACTTTGTCTCAGTGTGTGAGAACTCTGTTTATTATAGCTACTTTTGTGAGGAATAAGTCTCACTTTCTGTGCAAGAAATCAGTAGCCACAGAAGTAATAATTTCTCTTGCCCTTCTTCAGAACTTTTTGTGAGCGTTAGTAGGTCTTGTTTTGCTTATGCCCTTTGCTGTTAGCACGTAGCCTACAGCTACAGTACACGATAGCCCATATCATCTCCTGTGCTGTGGAATTAATACCCCACAGGTAAAGGCTTTCACTGGTCCACTCTTGAACAGTTGCATGAGTTCTAGGTGGTCACAGGAAGTAGTTTTGAGTAATCTCTTATTTGCTGTATTGTTTCTGTCTTAAACCCTGCAGTTAGCTCAGTTGGTCAGAGCATGGTGCTAATTAACACCAAGGTCATGGCTTTGATCCTTGGATGGGCCGTTCACTTAAGAGTTGGACTTACTGATCTCAGTGGGTCCCTTCCAACTCAGAATATTCTGTGATTCTGATTAGTGGTTAGATGAATGTGTTTTCTTGACTTTATGACATTGCTGTGTTCAGGGCCTTACCCTGCTACAGAAGTGGCATGTGTGGAATTCTTAATGTTACACATAATGGCTTTAAATTGACCAGGCTTTATAGTGATACAGGAGAATAGATATGTGCTAATATATAATGGTGCGCATTATATACTGGCTTTTGTTTGAATTTGGATGCCCTTTTCACTTTAGAAATTCTGCTTCAGTTTTTGAAAGGCTGCACTGACTTTTGTAATGCTGTGTGTGAATGCATTATTCCGGGATGTCTGACTGCTGGCCCAGAGGGCTTGCGTGCAGACATCTGCATGGCTTCATCCCAGGGTTTCCTAATCTGCCACATCTCTATGCAGCAAGGCTGAAACAGGACTTTTGTTTTGTTTTGATCATGTTCACGTGGTAGAACATGCTGTCAGCGATGCCATATGGACCCCTGGTTGCACGTTTTCAAGGTGTAAGATTCTTGTCAGAAGGCAAGATATTGGCCAGTGACTGTGAGTTTAAGGCAGGTTCTCTGCAGACTGCATGGGCAGAAGAACCCACAGTTTCATAGAATCATAGACTGCTTTGGCTTAAAAGGGGATCTTGAAGATTATCTCAGTCCAACCCCTGTGCCTTGGGACAGGACACCTTCAACTAGACTAGGTTGCTCAGAGCCCCATCCAGCCTGTCCTTGAAGACCTTCAGGGATGGGGCATCCACAGCATCCCTGGGCGACCTGTTCCAGTGCCTCACCACCCTCTCAGAGTACAGAATTTTTTCCTAATATCTAATCTAAACCTTCTCTCTTTCAATTTGGTCCCATTCCCTCATGTCCTGTCACTCCATGCTCTTGTAGTCTTGCCCTGTCCTTACTGTAGTAGGTATGGAGTCTCTCCTGTCTTTACCTGAGTAGTCTTAATTCAGTACATTCAAAGATTTTAATCTTTAATTGTTCAAGGTCATGGTACCATTGACTCTTTGAGTAAAATTTGCCTTGAGCATGGATGTTTGCTGCAGTTTCATGAGATGAACTAATGAAATAATATTTGAAAGCTGCTTTTGATAGCTGAAACTTCTACAGACTATCACAGGTAACAGTGTCCAGGTTTTTAGTCTGTGTTGATAGTGACTGGCTGTGGTTCTTCTGTTATCTTTCTATGCTTTTGTTGTGAGGTGGTAAAAATTACATCAACTGTGTTCTGAGCACACCAAAAGCCTACCTGAGTGTCTAGGATTGTTCCAGGAATTCTACTTACGGATCTGATGATTTTTATAAGAAAGATTTCTTTTAAACTCTGGCAAATATGAAATTAATGTGGTGTTAACTCTGTAAGAATATTGCCATTCTGCTTATTTCTGAAAATGGAGAGTGTTAGCATACTGGAGTCCTGGAGGAAACATTTCTTTTTGTATTCATCTGATAAATTCTTGGAACAATTTCTTTGGGTTAGTGACCCCATCACACTACACAATCTGTTACTTATGAAATCTTTAAGAACCTATGCTGTAGTTGCTGCAGGTAGTGCCACCCAAGTGAACTTCATTATGCTTTTTTAGAAGTGACAGATGCTAAATTATTCAACTGTTGATGTGAGAGCTTTGGGATTTTCTTTTTAGCAGCGTTGTCAGTAGCTGCCTAGGAAAGTGCAACACTACAGATTTCAGGGCCGTGGGCAGTTTTCCATTCCTTCCCTCTTTAATCCTGTACCTTAACAGCAAACCAGATGAGTCTTCTGACTGACACTGTTGAAGTTATTTCAACATTTTTACTTCCAGACCTGTCTGTCTCCTCCTTAGTTATGTTGTAAATGGAACCCATTGATCGAGTTATTTTTGATCTTTTTTAGCTAGACTGAGTAGCACAAGCATAGATGCTAACAGTAATGTATTTGATCGAATGCCATTTTTCATCAAACAAGCCCTCACAGAGTGCAAGCTCTCCACCAAGACACTGTGTTCCTGAGATCTTAACTTTTTATTTACTTCATAGTTTGAACAACAAATTTCATAAGCATTTCTGTGTGCTCTTTGACACATGCCATGTAGAGCATTGATCACTGTAAGGGTGAGAGCTGGCAGATAACTGGCGACACCTGAGCCTCCCCAGTCAGTGATCAGGACAGCAATTTGCAGCCCATGTGGTACAGTACTGGCATGGTTTAGCCCCAGCTGGCAACTAAGTATCACACAATCACTTGCTCACTCATCTACCAGCTGGATGGGGAAGAGAATCAGAAGAATAAAAGTGAGAAAACCTGTGTCTGAGGTAAAGCCAGATAGTTTCAGTGAAAGGTTGGTTGTAACTCTGATGCTTAGTAAGATGCCGGTGTTTGGATCACAGATACATTCAGGTCATCTTGTGCTTAGTGACTCTTAGATGGGTATTCCAACAAGGAGAATTGCTTAGCTGAGTCTTGGTCCAGAGTTAATAATAACGTGCAGAACTGATGGAGAAAAGCCTTTCTAGTTAGGGGACTTTGAAAATTAAAATGTTTGGGTGGTGGAGACTGAGATACTGTTCTCATGCAAGTTTCCCAGTTACAGTGTTTCAAACAGTTTTGCCTTCCCTGATAGAAGTTGCATACTTGGTTGTAGTAGCTTGACTTCAGCGGGGAGACATCTCTTCAGAAGGAAAGCTTGCTATCCACCAGGCTGGAAAGTATATGGAAGTGCTTGAGGAAAAGCAAAAATTCAAGTATTAGATTTTTTGGAAGGCTGTCTATATTCTAGGCTACTAGGAAAGAGTAGAGCTTGCCTTTCTCCTTCATGTTTGTCTGGCCTGCTTTAAGCAGAACTGTAATAGCTACTTTACATAGTGATTATTAGGTGAAATACTGGAAGACTGCACAGTGCCCAGGTTTAGGTACTCATGGTCACTTGTGGTTCAACACAGAAGCCCTGGGGAACAGACTTCTGGTGGCTGTGCCCTCTCTTAGGTATGCAGCTTGCCTCAGAACTGCTGAATTAGTTGCAACCTCATCTGGTAGAGAAGGGCTCACTTATAATAAATAATAATAATGGCCAGTCTTCGCGAGCGAAGATCCGGGGAAGGTCTTTACACCTTCCAGCCTGCGCATTGGATTTTTTAGGTGAGACACAGTGTGCGCGGAACTGAGCCCACCCTTTAATCCTAAGGTTCATCTGCCGGGGCCAAGCGAGCTTGGACGGTGGCAGCGAGGTCCTTAGGACGTAGGTGGGTTGCCTTTAAGGGCTAACGAACCCCACCTGCCCGGGAGTGGCCCTGACCGGGAATCGAACCCGGGTCTCCGCGGTGATAGCGCAGCGAGAAATGCAGAGGTAGGGCTAGTTTACGCCTCCAAAATTTCACTTGTAGCACATGGAGCCAAGGTGAACAACAGGCTCATGGGCAGAAGTAGCAACACATGGAAAACTTTGTATGGACTTTAATTAAGCATAATTGATTGGATGAAGAGTAGTGTTCCTCTTAAAAAATGACAGTAATTATCTCGTTTCTCATTTCTCTCATTGCTTTTTCAAACGGATATATCCATTTTTGCCCAAGCAGGTGTTAAGAGCACTGAGATATAACCAGGATTTCAGGGTTTGTTTCCCCTGGGCCAAATCTTTAACCATAATGTGGAAGTGCTCAGATGAACTGTATCCACAAGTGATTGTCAAACTGAAATATTTTCACACCGGGATGTGCTCTGACAATGTGTGCCAACGTAACAAGGAGCAAATAACTGTGTTAACATTGAATGCTTTTACAAATGTGTCATCTTTTCCCCTCTCCCAATTTTTACAGGAAAATCATCAGCGTGTTTGCATCTTCTTTGATTATGCAAAGCGTGGTAAAAACACTGCGTGGTCCTATTTTCTGCCAATGTTGAATCGACAAGATCTCTTCACTGTGCATATGGTAAGTTTTAAATGAACCTGTCTCTGAAGATGGTAGAGGCAAATGCTGGTTCTATTTTTCTTCAGAAGATTTTGGATTTTGAAGCTAAACTTCTGCCTGGATGAAAAGTTTTCCTCTTGCAGTCTAGATGAGTCATTCTTAATGCAGGCTTCATTTAACCACATTTTAGAAACAAAAGTTACATTGTTTGCTGACATTTTTTTTTGCTGGGAGATTAAGGCAGGCTTAAAAAACTTGGAAAAACAAGGATTTTAGAATTAATTAATTACAGTAAGACATACCTGAAAAATTACCTTTTATCAGAGCTGCCAGTCAATGCCCCTAGTGCTGTACAAATACTAGCATTTAAGTTCTCATCCTGTGCAAGGAAAATATCTTTACCTTGATGAACCTTATTTTCTCATATGCTCAAATTACCAACTGATTCACTGAAAGCCGTGCAAGTGCTGCTCAACAACAGGTAAAACGTTGATATGTTATCAGCACTGTTTTGGACACCAGTCTAAACCACGGCATCATATGGACTGCTATGAGGAAAATTAAGTCCCTCCCAGTCAAACTCAGTACAACCATGTGCAGTGTATGGTTTCTGCTGTGTTTTGAGGTACTGGTTGCTGCTCATGTATATGGAGTAACTTTTCTGGAATTCTTCTGTCATCAGTGGTAAGAACTGGCTATTTCATATTGGCAGGTTTTTTTTTCCTTGTGGGGCAAAAATATGGCTGTATTACTGTGAATTCCTAGTGAAGACCACAGTTTCCACCACTGAAACTTGCATTATGGCATGAAGAGGAGAAAGCGGCGTGGCTGTGAATTGTTCTTCACTGCATATGTTTATGCTGGCATGAGATGGTAGAATCAAACCAGGGATCAAACTGCAAACCCCCATACCTGCCCTGCATATTAGGCTGTACTGGTGCAGGGATTCCACCAGGCAAGTCATGCTGTTTTGCCCTTAGGTGTGGCCAGTGCAACTGTGTTTAGGACTGTGCTGCAACTTGAACAGTGAGCTGGCCTGTCCTCAAGGAAAATATCAGACTTGATTTTTTTTTCCTTCCTTTTTTTTTTTTTTTTTAATCTAACTGATTGACTGTGTGGATGTGAATCAGGTTTCTTTGTGCAGCTGAGGGAGGAGGTGGCTGGGGTTTTTCTGGTTAGTGTAGTTTGTTTCTTGGTTTATTTGGTAGTAATGCTGCTGAAGACCCATCCTGCAAAACTGCAGTTTGAGCAAGTTCAGACAATTTTGATTTCCCAAATATGCAGGTAAAGTCTGATTTTTTTTTTTTTTTTTGGACCCCTCGTAGTGCCACCTAATTAGTCTCCCTGGAATGGTGACTTTTAAATGTGTGGAATGGAAATTTCAATCTTCACTATTTCTCTACTCAGAGATATGTTTTTCAGATAATGTTTCCTTTAGGTACTGCAAAACTGTACAAATAATTTCACAAGTCACAGAGAACCTCATGTGAAGTGCATCCACTTTAAAACACTAAGTTTATTGCCTTATTATACCTTTTCACAGCTCTTGTGCATATTTTTTTAAAGCACATGAATGTTTTCTAAACCAAGTTTTAGGATTGTGTTATTTCGTTATTTTTATTTTATTTTCCTCCTTACTATGCATGCTGGAAGGCGTTTGTTACCATGTTATTGCGTCTGTCTAGCCAGATAAAAATCCTTATCCTCTGTCTAGGCTTAAATTCTGCTAAGCATAAATGGTCTCTCATTTGTGGGCCAGGTAGCAGTTTTAACTCAGGAGCGTGGTAGACTAGAGAGCTAATATCTTGTCTTGTAAAGCTGGAGGGATTTTACAAGGTTATTTAATTGCATTCAGAAGGGGATTTGATGCATTTTAGTGTAGAGATTTTTTCCAGACTCTCACTTGTAATCCCTCTAGAAATCGGTGGTGGTGTCGCTGCACATGTGAATGCAGTGAAGTGGAAAGTCTCGTCACTCCATCATGGAGCTGTATGCAGGCAAACAAACCCCTTCTTCAGTAGTTTATTGGTTACACTGCCTTTTTATGTCCGAGCTGGCTCAAATGTTTTTGCAAATAAGTTGCAGGCTACAACATAGATTTACTTCAAATATAATTTGAACAGGCTGACATAGAAATATCTTGTTGTTTAAAGTATCCTTGAGCCATAGGCATCATGAAAATTTTTAACCTGACGACATTTTTACTCCTCAACTTCTATTCTTAAATTCTGCCTTCCCTTTGAGTTTCTTTTCTGCTCTTCTTTTTCTGAGCTTGAAACTTTTGCCTACTTGAAGATGACTTGCTTCAGTTTAAGTACAAAAAAACTTCGATACCGTGTCCTCATTTGTCTTGCCATATGCCACAGTTGCTTAAATCCAACCTGCTCATGTGTGTTAGGCCTTTAAGTGTTACTGTTGATCAATTCTGACTGTAATGATGTCCTACAGCAGTAGCCCATTGGTAGCTTCCATCAATCCTCTTCTGAGTTCTTCACTGATGCCTTGTGAACTTCAACAGCTATGGGTAACAGATGACATTGTGAAAATTAACCAGTTACTGGAAGGAGAAGCAGCAGAGAGCTGAAAAGAAACAAAATTACTAGGCACAAAGAGTCCCATACATAGAAAAGAGGTGGATTTTTGTAAGGGACCATTCTTTTCCTAAACTTGGTTTCCAAAGCTTATAGTACTTCTCACTGAATTCTGAAATTGCCGTGCTTGAAAAATCTGTTTATTATTATTTTTTTCAGGCAGCACGAATTATTGCCAAACTGGCTGCTTGGGGAAGGGAGCTTATGGAAGGCAGTGACCTGAATTACTATTTCAACTGGATTAAAACTCAACTCAGTTCACAGGTAAAAAGCTGCTTTTGTTTAAACATTACAGTGACTTTGGAAACATTTTTCAAGAATATGAATGTATAGATGTGCAAGCAAGAGGTATAGTTTTAGGTTTTTGTTGTTGTTTTTTTTTTAAATGGAATTTTACTTTGTCATTTTTAAAGCTAAATATCCTTTATTCAAGCATGTAGTTTTTAACTTAGTATTTTGCATTTTCTACTCTAGTCCTTGAAATTTAAAATAAGTAAAACTTTTTGCCTTTTCTGTTGGCTAACACTAATTTTTCTTCTGGACACTGAGAAAATACGTGATGGGGGTTTTTGTCTTGCCTCTGTTGTTTTGGTTATCCTTTTTGCTGGGAAGAAAAATCTCATGGCAGCAGGAATTGAATGTCAAAACTTTTTTCCAGTTGACTGTAGTACAGAACTTTTATTTTTAGTTCTCTCTCTTGAAATTAAGTAAATTCTGACTTTTTTTTAAGGTATTGTCTTAGTATGAACTGCTTACTTGTGGCTTGTCCTTCAAAGATGATTCATTCTCCTTTGTATTCATTTTTGGAGATTTTTCCTTTAAAAACCTAGTGATGTGTCATTCTCTAATGTAGTGTTGTAGCAGAAGTGCATTCTGGAGAGTGGAGAAGTAGATTTAGTAATTGTATATTTTTCATAGTTTTCTAAACTGGGTCTATTAAAAAGGAGTTTTATATTTTTTCCTTTGGAATAAGTATCTTAAGTTGGAATTTCCTTCACGAAGATTCTAAAGAACAGTTTTCAAATTCTTAAGTTGAATATGTCTTGAGTAAATCTGCACATAAATAAAAATTAAATCTTGATATATTAGAATCATGTCCAAGCATATTTTTTTAGACACAAAGTGTGCTTGGGAAATAAATATAATACATTATGACAGTGTGTTGAGAAGGAGGACTATCTAATAGATTCTAAATCTTTTCTTTTTTTGTAACTAGAGAGATTGGAGAACCAAAAGAAACTTGGTAACAGCTGTTCCTTAGGGGTGAAAGACAGGTTCTGATTTTAAACTTTTTAATTTTTTTTGCTAGAAACTGCGTGGTACAGGGGGTTCTGTGGAAGCAGGAGCAGTCTCCACAAGTGATGTGAGTATATCTTTGAAATCTGTGAATTTACTATTTTGGGCAGGTGATACCCACTCCTTGGATTAAGGTGCAGATCTGTTCTGGTATCTGTGATAAGAAGTACTTGGAATCAGAACTATACAGCAGAGTGCCAGGTGATGGCGCCAAGAAACAAAAGTATTTTTAAACTCTCATTTCACAAAGAATGTTGGCAGTGAAAGTATATACTTTGCAAGTTAGTTTGAGCTGTTAAAACTGTAGATGTATCTAGCTTTCTTTTTGTTAAGACTTGAAAAAATTATGTAAAATTAATTTAATATTTGAACAATTTTAAGTCACTGACTCAGTGGTCTTAGAGGCCTTTTCCAGCCTGAATAATTCCATGATTCAATACTGTGTGTTTAGGACTGAGCTGTTGGACTTGTAGAAGAAACCTAAGGCTATATGAAGCTTTTGGGTGTTGTGATGTTGAACTCAGAAAGGGCATGTCAGACATTAAAGCTAATGTTGCCACTTAACTGTTGTAGCATGAAATTGCAAAAGTACTTTCAAAGCTGTAAGCTTCTCATATTTGAATAGCTTGAATTCAAAGGAAATTTTTTTTGATACTAAATTTCATGTAACTGTAATGGCTGGTGAGCCTGGAGACGAACTGTGGCAGTATGACAAATGCAAATGATCATCCTAACTGGTTTTGCTGTGGTGGTGTGGCAGGATGAGGTGATTTATCATAGTTCTTGGATGTGGAGTAGAATTCAATTTGGTCTCTTGCTCCTTGTGCAGCCTGAAAGTGTTCACAGCTTTTCAAAAGTCTTAACCTGGAATTTGTTTTTCTTCTAAGTGTAATCATTGCTTTAAGGTGTTACCTTCCTGTAGAGGAGAGCCTCTTAAATTGCCATCTGTCTGCTGTTTACAGTAGGAAAGATGAAAGACTGTTATGCATGACCATGGGTAATGGGTGAAGATGAAGTATTCCAGTATTTCATGTGCAGATCTTTGTGCCATACTGTTAGGTTTTGTTGGACTGACAGCCCTCTGTCACACAGCCTTAAAAGAGTAGCATGGAACATCACTTACTGTGGAGCTCTTCTGACTTGTTTGGAAATCTGCATCTGTTGTACTGTGCCACAACAAGGTCCCAGAGCAGCAGAACTGATAGCGCAAATATGTTCATGGATAATTAAATTGGGCAAGTATTGTCCTAACTTCATTAGTGTTCAGGTTTCATATCTAGCTTATACAGGATTTTGAAGCAGGTCCTGACTAATTTATTAGAGATGCGTTTGTAGCATTTTGTACAGGAAATGAGGGCAAGAATCTATTATGAAATTTCAATTATAATAGTGTCGGATGAGAATGCTCTTATGAAAGCAAACTCCAAGTTCAGTAGTATACAGGTTGGTGATGCAGATAATATAATGTTTGGGGTGGGAGAGCTGTCTGTGTGTTTATTGCTGTTTTATTTGCATGGGGTGTGAAAGTGAATACTTACCCAGGGAAATGAACGTTCTGTGTGATGATTTGGGCCTAGATGTTCAGGCTTAGTTTTTACATAAAGGTCTTGAATCTCTCATGAGAGACAAACAGAATTAGTTACTCTCTATTTTAAATTCTTTATTGTCCCTTTTCATTTGGGATCGCGTAACTGTTTGAAAGGTTTGATCTTATGTGAGTGAGCTGCCGTAAGACTTTCAAAACACTAAGTGACGAAAAAGGCTTATAGGAGAAAAAGCCCCCAGAAACATTTTATCAGCAGCATATCTGAGTATTAGTGAAGATAGTGCTGACAATTGAGTAAGAAGAGAGAAAAACGTGCTATTTCTGTTGCACCTTTGGATTTTTCAGTTGCTGTAGTGGGAGGATCAATGTGTTGACCAAACCCCATTTTTGAACTGCAGCCCATCTTATGTGTTACTACACAGAAAATATATGTTTTTACTGATGAAAAATTGTTTAATGTGACTGTTCATGAATGAAAATAGAGTTCATTGGTGCATCTCATAATTTTTCTGATGGTAAAGATTTAGTCTTATTCTTTTCTTAGCACAGCTTATGTGTTTTTCTGGTGGCATTGTTTTTGTCTGAATACACATCTCATTATGATAAGTAAGGTACTGTGTGGCAAATGCATAGCAAAATTTGCAATTGTGAGGGCACCATTGCTCTCTTGAGTTGGAGTGGAAAGAACCTAAGCTCAAGATTCCTGTTTCTGCAGTAACCTCTAGCAAAGTCCTTCAAGCTTGGTAATCAGTTTGCTGATTTATTTTCCAAAGTTTTCTCAGTGGAATAATAGTTGACCCTGTGGATGAAAGGGCTCTGGCAAGTATAATCAAACAGAAGGCAGCTTTCATTCATGGGTACTGAAGGAAGGCATGTTCACATGTTCTGGTAATGTAAAGTGTTGTCACTTGTGTAACACTTCTTTAGTATTCAGAACTCTTCTCAATTTATGCCAGTAAAACCTAGTCTGGAAAACTGAACTTCAGTACTTAGTAACTAACTGTTCTTGTAAGAAACGTTGTGCTGTTCTCTTCACCCAGAGTTCCCAGTATGTACAGTGCGTTGCTGGATGTCTGCAGCTGATGCTCAGGGTCAATGAATATCGCTTTGCGTGGGTAGAAGCAGATGGAGTAAATTGGTGAGCATCTATTTCAATTTATGTGGATATACTTGCACCTACAGTAGCACATTCCCCAGTGACCTTTTTTTTTGCAATAGAACTCTTGTAATAGGCAGCTGTTCTGTTTTGAGTACAAAGAGGTTTGTTTTCAGACATTAACACAGTCAAATAGACAAATGAAACTTGCAATGTTGAGGCTTTAATGCTACTCTTCTTTTAAAGAAGAACGGCTTAAATATTTATGTGAAGGGGAAGGTGCCCATTTGTCTTCAGCTGAAGATGCACTGTTTATTATTTAATAGAATGAGGATTAATGAAATGAGTTTCTGCTAATCATCTTTGGCTTTGGAAGTGTTTAGTCTGAAAATATTAGTGAAAGGAAAAACATTTTCTAGAGCTAAGCTCAATTTTTTGCCACATGTGACTTCAAGTAAGTCTTTCTTTTGTCCAGATTCTCTTAATAAGTAGCTTTGCGTAAGGCTAGGATGGCAGCACTAAACTTATTTAAAATATGCTTATATATAGACAGTTTTTCTGCCATGCGTGCCTCTGTTGGGGATAGTTGCTGTATGATTTGCATTTTAATGAAAAGTACCCTTGTATTCTGAAATGGAGAAAAGTCAAAGTTGCCAATAAAGTAAAATTTTGGATCAAGTTCATATGTGTCAAGATGACGCTATCGAAACAACCTTTTTCACAGAGGAGGCTTTTTAATCAAGTATTAAAGCATTACAATAAACCTGTGTTTCAACAAGTTCAAGTTTGTCGTAAACTTGATATCAGTGATTTTGAACGTAGATTATTTTTAAGTTGAGTTAGCTGTTTCATGATGGACCTATAAGTTGCTTATTAAATTTTTAAAACTTCAGCTGAGCACGTCTTCTGCGTGATTTCTTCTTGGAGATCTTGTGATATTTCTTTCTAGCAGTACTTGGTATATTTTCATCTATCAACCATTTTCTGAGAATGCACTGTTAAATAATGAATACTTCAGCTCATTTCAGACACTCCTGTGGAGAGGTACAATTAAGGAAACAAGTTCAATTTGTGTAGATTTTGTTCTGTCTCTTTACTCCTTCTTAACTGTGAAGGAGTTGCTGCGTGTTTTTCTGTTTCTCCTAGAATGACAAATAATGCTCTAAACATACCAGGAGAAAAAGTGTCTCGGTGAAGCTGAAGATGGATACAGTACCACATCGGCTCACATGGGGAAAGCTGCTTTATGGCTCTCAGGCTAAGGAGAAAATAGTTACATCTTTAAAAGACGACTTTGAACAAGCTGCTTGTACAATGATAAGTAGTGATGCAGGATACTGTGAAGTGTGCACTGTATGCTCATCCTTAGCAGCTCTTTCCAATAAGTTCCTGTTAACCATTTCTTTTAAGGTTTCAGGGTGGAAATCTGCAATCTATACAGTCATTATTTAAAAATTAAATGTGTACTGTGTCAATTTTTCAGCATCATGGGTGTCTTGAGCAACAAATGCGGTTTCCAGCTCCAGTATCAGATGATTTTCTGTGTGTGGCTGCTGGCATTTAGCCCTCAAATGTGTGAATATCTTAGACGTTATAATATCGTCCCAGTGCTATCGGATATTCTTCAGGAATCTGTCAAAGAGAAAGTGACTAGAATCATTCTTGCAGCATTTCGGGTAAGTACCTGTTGACTGCAATGAGTCTGTGCATCTCTCCTGAATTTCTAGGTCTGAAACGTTGCTGATGGATAGCTGTTTCTGCCACATCAGTAAACTGGATTGAAAGCTTAATTCTCCTTTTTTTTTTTTTTTTTTTTTTGTGAACTGAGTTTTTCTACAGGTAATAGACATGCTATTACAAGTAATAGGTATCTGCTATTCAATATCTTTTTAAAATAAGGTTGACTAAAAACCTAAAATATGTTAACACAGGCACTAGTGATTTCTTTTTTTTAATTCAAGATCCTTTTTTCTATTTGCACTAGTGTAAAACACTTCAGTTATTAGTATCTGATAAATTTTACCTTAGGAATTTGCCTTTAGTTAACAAAATACTACCTTGAACACACACATTTGCCCAGCTGAGAAATTATTTTTATCTGCTAGTCCAAAAATCTTCTGGTGGCTGTGTCAAGACAAATGAGAATATCCATGTAATTAGTTGATTTACTGTGTCTGGATTACCTGAAAATCACTGGTCCTATTTAAGATAATTTGGAATAACTGAGTACCTAGGCTTGATGTTTTCAATGTGAGAGTACTATTTTATGTTCATGAATGCCAATAGTTTTATGTGCATGCTTGTCAAGTGTCTTGTGAGTAATACAGGAACGCTATAACAACTTGTAATTCTGTTTTAAAACAGCATAATCTTGGAAACTTCTTGTTTTCCTGGGTGTTGATTGTGTTTTTTCTAATAGTAAGCATTGCAGGCAAATTAGGATGAGGAGAGGGGAATTGTTGCTTGATGACTGGCTAATTAGAAACAATAAGATGTGTGAAGGTGCCTACTCTGTGTTTTAAATGGTCTTTCTATCTGAAAACCTCTGCTACTGAAAAATTTCTAGATAAGGCAGATTGTAAGAGTATTCCATTTTTCTGGTTGAAAGACTGCAGTGGTGTGAGGTCTCCGTGGGGGCTGTTCTTACCATGTAGACCTCTGTTGTAGTGTTCTTTAGGATCTCAGTGTCAGGATTAAACAGGGATATATATAGCAAGGCAGATTTGAAAAAAAAATAAAAAAGAAAGAAGTTGAGAGGGTCAGCAGTCTAGATCTTACATCCAGCTTCTTCCAATTCTGAGGTCATAAAAAGTAGGACAAATAGTGGTTAGCTCTTATGTTTAATGTGTTTTGCAATTTCTTTTTTCTAATAAATGAAGGCTAAGAAAGAATTACGGTGGTTTTGTTACAGGCTTTGGGGAATGTAATTTAGCTGTTTCCTTTCTCCAACATTAAAGACTCGTGTTGGCATGAAAATGAGTTGTAAACTGCCAGCCAGGAAAACAATAGATGAGAAATTAGACTTCAGAGTTCTGAAACAACATTAAAATAGGTAGAAGAGACAACCTATTTTCCCATGTGAGATGCTACAGTATCAGTTTATATAGCCTGGGGAGAAAAAAAAAAGGTGAATTGCATAAAAGACTGGGCTTGATGATTCTCCAAATCTGCCTGTGCCTTACTGAAGGCGTACCATGAGTCTTGACAACTTGGATGTCTTCTATACTACTTGGTTTCTCCTAATTTGACCTATTTCACCTCTTTGTCAATTACCTGAAGTATATAATTGTAATGTAATAATTCTTTCTATAAAGCAATAGATCTTGGGTACTTCTGTCTCTTTCAATTGCTTTCTTTACCTATATTTTTTTTTTCTCATTTTTCATACTTTTATTGTCTTTAATGTCTGTTTCCTGCCTATAACTAATTTTGTACCTTAAGATTTTGCTTTTCATCCCTGAGTGGTTTACTGATCCATTCTATTTGGTCATGTGTTCATGTTTGTATTTTGTTATCATATCCTTTCAATTTCACTATGTAAAGCTTGAATATCTCATTATTGTATGAGGTGGATAATAATATTTGGAGAAGCTTTCACATCTGCCTGCAGTTCTCTTAACTAGGAGTTCTTTGGAAACTTTATCTACCTTATCCTTGAACTTGAATTGTCTTTTTAAGACTTACCCTTTTGCTCTCATTAGCACTTTTCAGTAATTTTGCTTTACTTGCTGTGAATTACCTTTTAGTTCTCTTATTGAAGTAGAAACTGGGGTGGAGTTTTTTTCACACATTAAAGCTAATTGTATGTGACCATTAAAAGCAGTAATATGACTTACTTTTAGTTTGCCAGTTTTAACAATGATGTGCAGTGTTCTGTCTTACTAATTAATAGGATGTCTGATACCTAAGAAACCTTAAGTGTCGTAGTTCTCTGACATGAGAGTGATGCAGTCAAGTTCCTTCTATGTAGTTTCATTGCTTATTTCTGGTAGACATTGTCTTATTTATAGGAACACTTGTTTTGTTTGTTAAGGACTTCATCTTTATATGAGATTCATGTTTTCAGCTTTATCAAATAGTGCAGGTGGCCAGCTCTGATTGAGCAACATAATTGGAAGCTGATTAAATTGAGTAGAAATGTAATGAATAAATGACATTGGAACTTGAGTATTGCATTCTGTGCTTGTAATTCCAGTCTTACCAACAAGCTTCTGTTTGAATAAAAATGTCTGTTTGGAATATTCCCAAATTTGAAAGGAGTTGATCTAATCCAGATGGTAACTCTTTAATTGGAAATATGACTTCAGGTTGTTTTTTAGGGTTTTTTTTAAGGCTTTTCTGCTTTATGCTATTGCTGCACAGAAAGCTAAAATGACAATTCAAGATAAAAGTAGTTGTTTATGGCAGAGATTCTGGTATTTGGGATATAAACCTTCTATTTTTTCTTTGAATAGTGTTTGTAGTCACACTGATTTGATGTGGAAAATGTTAAAAAACGGTGAATTAATACTTTCTAATATTGAAGAGAGAGATTATTTCAGGAAGTGGTCAGTTCTGTCACTTACTAAATTAAAAAATGCCAATAAGAATTTCTTAAAAATACCACTTTGTTTCAAAGTAATCGATTTTAAAAAAAAAAACACACACAAAAAATAATTACATCTTTACTTCTCTAGAATTTGTTAGAGAAATCTACTGAGAGAGAAACTCGCCAAGAATATGCCCTTGCCATGATTCAGTGTAAGGTTTTAAAGCAGCTTGAGAATTTGGATCAGCAGAAATATGATGATGAAGACATAAGTGAAGATATCAAATTTCTACTGGACAAGCTTGGCGAGAGCGTGCAAGACCTTAGGTATGCTTTGCAGTGTGAACTTTAGAAAAAAAGGCAATTATAGGGCTTTGGTAAAATGTTTTTCCTTTGTAAGGCTAAATAATCTACAGAATTATGATATGTAAATACTAGTTGGTAAGGTAGAGCATACAGAGATGCTGGTTTTAGTTTTCTGTTGTGAGTGAGTAGAGCTAAATCTTCACGTAGATGTATGATCTAGTGCTTACCCAGTTCTTGCTCTTGTGCCTACATTGAAGTGCATGTTGTAGTTCATGTCAAAGGTTTAATTGGATGGAAGGCAAAGACTGGGATCCTTGGCTGAGGAAGTTTAAAGCCTAAAAAACTTGTGAAATAACTAATTGAATTCCAAGATGTCATATTCTTGTGGCTTATGTTTTTCCCTTTTTTTTTTTTTTTTCCTTTAGGTATAGTGTTCTGTGTGGATAGAGAGGCATGTTTGAAAACAAATTTTTCAGCCTACCTTTCATGCACTCTCTTATTTATAGAATGTTGAGACAGGGACCAGTTCTCATGCTCTGCAGATCACACCGACTTCTAAATGTGTCATAGCAGTTTGTGCTCCAGCTTTGTTAGGGACAGGCTTGGGCATGCAATTCAGACTGTTCATAGAAGCTTAGCCAATATATCATTTACTTCTTGTGTCACAGCTCCTTTGATGAGTACAGTTCTGAGCTCAAGTCAGGAAGACTGGAGTGGAGTCCTGTGCACAAGTCTGAGAAGTTTTGGCGGGAGAATGCTGTAAGACTAAATGAGAAGAATTATGAACTACTCAAGTAAGTTTTCAAGTCGTGAATCACATAATTCTGTAATATTTTTTGTGTTTAACTGAACCTGTATCTGATACAGGTTTTACATTTCAAGATTAAGTAATGTCTAGAATGAAAGCAAGTTGGAACATCGCACATATTTTAGAATGTATGGTCCTTACTCATGTGTGGTTTGTTTTCTTCAAAAGCTGAATTGTTTATTTGCTTTTACTGGTCAAAGTGTAGCAATGATAGAGGGAATATCTCTAGATTAACTTGCGTGCAGATTTGTGCCATTGACTCTTTTCATACTTTTCTTGGAAAGACAGCTATGCTAAGTGATGTAAATAAAAATGTTTTTAATATACCTTAATTTTAGTTTTGGGTTGTGTGGTGATGTTGGTCCGAGTAATGAACTACTGCCTTGAATATTTGGGGGCTGAAAGTTGTGGTGCTGTTCCATGGAAAATCTGACTTGCTGCATTACATTCCATTCTGTCTATTTTGTCTTGGAACTGTGTTTGGAGTGCATAGGTTGTTAGAGGAAACGAAGTGGAAGCTCATATTTTCTTTTGGAGTTAAGGACTGATTTGAGGACTTACGAAATTATGTACTGAAAAGATGTCTAGGCCTAAAGTACCTTATAAGAGCTCTTAGTTGTTTAACTGCACTGTCATTAACTGAAATATGTGGTGTTCTTTCAGTTCAGGGTTTGCTAATAAGTACCAGTCCTAACAGGAATCAGGAGGTTGAGTGGAGCATGTGAGACTTTCAAAGGCCTGGCAAGAGCAAGCTGATCCTGAGCTTTATGTGCTTTCAGTCTGCCCTGACACCTCACTGGAACAAGTCTGATAAATTCCTCCCTGCGTGCATATTGATAAATATGTCGAATTATGGACTTGAAAATTTTAGATGGTGACAACTGCAGCATGAGGTTAATGTTGAGGCTTAATATTTCCTGTAGTGATGGCAATGTTTTGCTGTATTCATCTGTCCTAGTTCTAGGACTGTTATGTAAATTTTTTGGGCTTGTGCTGCTATAAAGATAGTTTGTTTAACACTGCCCAAAAAACCCACCAAACCACTACCACAACAACAAAATCCACAAAAACCCCACCCACTCTCCCCCACAATGTGATGGGGAGATGCTTGCACCTCAGAACTTCTCTTTTGCATTGTAAGGTGTTTGACGGGCAATAGGCCACATAATTCTATTTTCTCTTATCTGTGTGCTTATTAGTTTTCTAAATCTAAAAGATTTACGCTACTGTCAAACTTATTTTTTTCATACCTTCCACCATTATTGCCTACTTTGATGCTAGACTTGTATTTTGTTCAGCAACGTTGTATGGATCTTTACTGTCTTCTGATTAGTGCTATGGTTCAAGTTTCTCCTTCTACTTTTTGACCAAATTAGGATTTTTTTTTCATTTAAAAAGTGCTTCATCTGTCACTTTCTGGCCTCTAGGGAGGCAATGGCTACTGTAATTTAATTTTACCAGAATGTTCTTTAACTCCCCTATTTCAACTTGCTACTAACTTTCTGTGATTAGAACACGTTTCTCATCTCACTAAGCATAGAGTAATCTAATTTTCCAGTGATCTATGTGTTTAACCTTTTCAGTTTATTAGTGCCTAACCTTCATAATCTGTATCATTTTTCCCCTTCCTCATTACTGGCTGGAGGACAGTGTTACTGGTAGCTGTTTTCCACTAAAGGTGATTTAATTACTTAATTCAAAAATGCAGACAATATTAAGAGCTGATAAGCTGTTTTCTGCTTCTTACAGTTCTGTATTTCTGTGCATTCTAAGAAAATAGCAAATATATGGCACTGGAGTCATAGACAAATGTACAGCTTTCATCTTCTCAGTCTTTGAGTTAGGACAGAACTGCTTTTTAGTTCAATTTGTCTTGAACTCAGAACTGCTGGTCTTGAAGCCAGTGTATAAAAAAAAGGGAGATTTTGTAAACCTTGGTTATAGGTAACTGTGGATGTGGCTCACTAAACTGGCTCTAGTGAATGCTTTTAATAATGCTATTAATAAAGGCAGGATCTCAGTTGCTTTAAGTGCAGCTGCATGTGGAGGAAAAGTTCTATTCTAGCTTTGCTGTTTGGGTAACTTGTAAAACATTTTTATGATTATGGACTTCGTTATTTTAAGTTATCACTGATTTTAAAAATAAAACAACAACAAAGAAAACCCAAAACAAAACAAAAAAATAAAACCCAAGCCAAAACCCGGGACTTTATTGTTTCAAATCCTTTCCTAGAATCCTGACAAAACTTCTGGAGGTTTCTGATGATCCACAAGTGCTGGCTGTAGCTGCTCATGATGTGGGAGAATATGTACGACACTATCCCCGGGGAAAACGGTAAGAAAAATTATTCAAGACTAACTGGAATGTGTACTTTGCCTGTGGCTTGTTTTGCTTATTTATATTAAAATATTCTCCAAAGGGATTTCAGGTTATGCTTGAGTTTAATTCACTGGGAAGGTGAGAAAGCACAAAACTAGATCAGACTAGAAAATGCAAACTGAATCTTTGACTTAGTATATTTCAGTGTCTCGTAACAATGAAGGGAACCAGTGTTTAAAGAAGTACTGAATATGTTGTTTAGACTAAGCAGAAGATGGACACCAGAAGAAATTGGAAGACCTACCAAGAATTTGATCAACATATAATTTTTGCCCTCTATTGTGACTTTAATTATTGTACTTACAGTAGGGATGGACTATTCCAACAATGATTAAGACTGTTTTGTGACTTAAGACTACTGAGAAAATTTTTTTACAAACAATTGCTAATGTAATTTCCGTGATGTTAGCACAGATTCAGTTGTCACTCTTCTATTTTAGCGTGTTTTCTTTTAACTACACAAATACGCATTTCGGTGAAAATGTTTATTGTAAACCTGAATTCTTATTGAAATTCTGCTTTGTTTAGTTTTAAAAACCTGTGAGCAAAGATGTTTGCTGTATAATGGCCCCTCTGAGGTAGAGACTACTGAAGCAGAAGGGAGCCTTTGGTTTTTGCAGGAATCTGTCTCATCAGTCACACAGAAGGACATGTGATTTAATTCTTGTAGCAAAGAAGTGGTCTGTTTCTGGTTTCTGCCTAGTATTTAATGGGTGTCTTGTTTAACCCCAGCTCATATACTCAGGCCTATAAAGCCACTTGCTCACTTCCCACAGCAGGGCGGGGGAGAGAAACAGAAGAGTAAAAGTGAGAAAACTTGTGGGTTGAGATAAAGACAATTTAATAGGTAAAGGAAAACAAAGATTTAATTCACTGCTTCCCGCAGACCAGCCTGTGTTCAACCATCCTGAGGAAAGTTAGGATCTATCAAGCTTAATGGGTACTTGGAAGGACAAACACCATCACTTTAAATGCTCCCCACCTTCCTTCTTATTCCCCCAGCTTTATGTGCTGAGTGTGATTCCATGTGGTATGGAATATTCCATTGGTCACCTGGGGTCAGCTGTCCTCCCTGTGCCCATTCCCAGCTCCTTGTGCACCCCCAGCTACCTTGCTGGTGGGCTGGGGTGAGGAACAGAAAAGGCCTTGATGCAGTACAAGAGCTGCTCAGCAATAATGAAGCACTGTTCTTAGTACAAAGAAGAAAATTAACTATCTCAGCTAAAACCAGCACAACAGGGAAGATGAGAAGGGCCTTCTAGCCTTGCTGGGAATTTCATGAACGCTTCTGGTGCAGACTGCTGTCTTGACAGTAGTAGAATCACAGACAACACACTAAAACTTCATGCCATATGTATGCTAGAAAGATTTGTTCACTCAAGAAATAGACTCACAGCTCTTGCAGTCTTGCAAGCAACTTCAACAGAAGATATTTTTAGATTATTGGAAGAAATTAAATGTTTTCTAGGCCACTAAGAAAGGTCAGAGGTGTTTGTTGTGCACCACTTATACTGAGCAGTGCTGTGTATTTGCTAATTAGCTCCTGTGCTTTCCAATAGAGATTGATGACAACTGGTATTTGGAGGAGAGACAAGATATCCTCTAATAAGGTGGAAACTCACAGTACTGCCTGCAAGTGACAAAGCCGAAGGACTGACTAATACTGGCTGCTCTTGCTTTGAGCGACCCTTTGAAACCATTTTGTCATGCATTTTCCGTAATCTTTAAAACAGCTTGCATGCATCTACCTGAATGTGCTATAATGCTTTGGCTAGAATGGCCATGCAGTTGCTGGACCAAAGCTATGAAGTCAGAAGAGTGGATAAACAGGACCTGTATCTCTCTGTCTGTATTGCTGTTGGAACCACAGCTCTGCTTGGCTCCCAGCCTGTTAAACCTATTCAGAAATGCATTGACCTTCAAAGGAGATCAAATAAACTCAGCAAATAAGCTCAGCATCAGCAAATAAGTCCTAGATACTACTCTAACCCACATTCACTCTCAAATTCTAATACTTCAGCTGCTTTCTACTTACAGACGTCCTTATTTGGCTTTCTGTTCCAATGAACAAACTAAAATGCCTCAATCTCTTTCTTTTAAATAATTTTGTTTGTAATCTGGCATATTCTTACCAAGTATGACTTCAGCAATTTTGGAACTAACTAAAAGCTTAAAATACTTAAGGATCATGTGTCAGTTCCAGCATAATAGTCCATTTCTTACCATGATGTTTTTCGATATATAGTCATTTACTGTTCCCACGCTTGGATGGTATTTCACACTCCCATTGCATGACTCACTTTGAGAGTGGATACTGTTCCTTGGTTTAGAGGAGTAGAAGAATTCAGATGTCTTATACTTTTGTTTCCTTTAAGTGTTTATCATCAATTCTTAACTGGATCATCCTTTAACCTTTGAAGGTTGCAGATAAGAATTGGAACCTAAAACTTCTTGACTTTACCTACTGCACACAGCAGAGACCTTGAGTTACAGTTCTGGCTAACCTTTCCCTTTGTCTGGCAGAAGAAAATATTTGTTAAACTAAACACTACGTCTTTGCTCAGTTGTTCTCCAGTGCTGTCAGCTTAAATAACCTTAAGTTGCCTTTAACTTTACACATTTTGGACCAAGTTGTCAAGACAATAGCACTATGGGCTTCTAATGAGGCTCACCAAGATGCATTTGCTGACAATGTAACAGCAGAAATAAAGTATGGCACTGGTGTTTCCTGTCACTGAAAATAAATGCAGGCCTTCAGCACAGCTTCTATGTGACCTAAAGGTTATTGCTATGTCCTGTCAGCGCTTTCAGTCTCTTGAATGCCATGAACATGGGCTGTGTGTTTTACATGTACAACAGATGGACAACTAGAACCATTCCCTTCCTTAGCTCACAATTCAGAAACAACTTGCATTCCCTTTTTCACCTTGATCTGCTTTTAGATATGTGGTGTGGATTTTATATTTTTTTTCTGCTATAGCAGTCTAACTTGTTCTCATTTGTCTTCACCTTCCATTTCCTCTTTCTCCATTTAAATGGGTCATGTTAAAATCTGGATCTTCAGCATCCAGACACTATTTTGAAATGCTGCTGTTTTGGCTTAGTGCCCTGGTATTACAGGGAACAGTCCCTGCAGAAGATGATGCACATACGGTAACTGTTCCTCTGGGCTCTCTTTAGTGCTGTGAAGTAAGCAGAAGTTGACAGGAGGGGAAACAGAATTAAAGGTAGTGTTTTGGGAACGTTTGGAACTTGAAGGAATAGGATTCGCTGTGAAACTTCCTCACAGTTTAGACCTTTGGGTCAAAAAGCGATGGCTGGGAAGAGATTTGTACTAGTAAGCGGCATTATGCAAGAATGGTAATGCTGTTCTTCGACTCTTCATATTGTCAGCCATAATTTCAATGATGTATTGTCATCTGAAAGAGCCTATTAGCATTTGTGATTATAGGCTTTTAACTTTTCATTTTGGTTCTTGCATTCTAGCATAAGGAAGCTTTTGAGTTTAATGCCTTTTTTAAATGCTTTCAATTCCTGAAACTCCAGTGGTTTAAGTCAGTCCTATAATAAAGAAAAATTCCTGTTTGTGTTTCATAGTCTTGTCTTTGTGTGAGGTGGTTTTATATTTAACTCAGTAAAAATGTGATGCAACCTAAAGGCAGGCATAAAGGTTTTTTGAATGTTACATTACTAATAACTCCTTGAATTCTTGGCAAGGATTCTCCAGCTTAAAACAACTGCACTTTTCTGAATGTATTCCTGCTTTATGAAACATGCTTAAATGTTTTAATATTGTTGGGAAATAATATTCCCTATGATCTTAAGGATGGATTTGACTGAGTTATAAAATGAAATCGGATATTCTCTTTTTCATCTCCATGCTATGTCTTCATACCCATTCTGCAGTTTACAAAACTACAGTGCTGTGCAGCAGCAATACATTCGTTTGGCCATGGAAAGAGCAGTGCTAAACTCCAGTAGCTCATGCAAGCTTAAAATGGCAGGACAGCATCAGGATAAGACTAATGCAAGAGATAGCCTCTTCACAGGATAGTATGTTTAAATACTAAGTGATGTGTGAGAAAAGTCACGTAGAAAACCATATGGAAGTCAGTGGGTAATCAGCTTAAATATTCCTTGCAAATTCTCTCCGAACTTTAGTGCTACACGTAGAGTCATCTGGATGGTGATACTTTTTAGGTTTTAAGTGTGTTGCCTTCTATTTTTTCTTTATTATTAAGAAACGATATGTTCATGAATGAGACACAAGGTTTCATGGATATTTCATGGGGGATTTGGTATAGCTGTGAAAAAGGTATGGCTGACTATGGTGGTAAAGTTCATAGTGAAAGATGAAGCTGAAACATAATTTTTCTGGAAATGGTACCCTAGCAGCCAGTTCTGCCTCTTGTGCAGGAGTAGCTGTGGCTCAAGTACAGTTCGAGTATCAAAAAGTACTATATGTACAAGGTGGGTGATTTAATAGGTGTTGGTGTGATTACAACGATTTTTCTGTGCTGGACTAGGTTGGGGTTTTGTTCTTACAAAAAATGGAGTGACCTGGTTATCATCCATTTGTGGAGGAGAGGGAAGCACTACCTCCTACCTAATAATTGATAATGCTGTACCCTGCCAACCCTTTCAAGCTGATATTGAGCTGGATAAAGTAAATAACCCTCTCTGAAAAGGGTTCTTTCCTTGGTTATTTATTTCAAAGTTTATGGAAGTAGGTAGTGGGAAGCAAACAGGAGACCAGTAAAAACACTTTCTGTTGTTGTGAATACTTTAAAAAAAATTAAAAAAACCCCACAGTAGTAGGAGATAATCTGCATCTGTAACATGTCAAATAAGATGTCCATGTTAGGAAATAAATATTTTTAATAAAATAAATATTACATGTAACTTAAACTTAACCTCTTAATGCCTTGGGCGTGAAGTGGTTGGATAGGATAATTACTCAGAATTCAAAGTAATGTCAAAAAAACTGCTCCCCTCTTCTCTTTCAGAGTGATTGAACAACTTGGTGGTAAGCAGCTGGTAATGAACCACATGCATCACGAAGACCAACAAGTTCGTTATAATGCACTACTGGCTGTGCAGAAGCTGATGGTTCACAATTGGTAAGTGAAGATCATTTAACATGTGACTAACAGTGAGAAATCTTGGGTGTGGAGAGAGGATTCAAGACAGAAGATTTCTTTAAGGAGGGAATAGCATTTTTATGTGGAAAGACAGCAATTTTTAAACAGTAGGGCAATATGATCTGGATTGTAAGAACTTAGCTTTTCTGCTTTTGGAAGCAGTTGAATTGCGTAGCTTCATCTTACATGGTTGAATCTCAAATGAGTAATTCAGTTGAGCAATGTATTTTAACTAAGGTTGGATATTAGGAAACATTTTTTCACCCAGAGGGTGGTTGGGCACTGGAGCAGGCTCCCCAGGGAAGTGGTCACAGCACCAAGCCTGACAGAGTTCAAGAACTTCTTGGCAATGCTCTCAGGCACATGGTACAATTCTTAGGCCAGTCCTGTGCAGGGCCAGGAGCTGGACTCTGATCCTTGTGGTTCCCTTCCAACTCAGAATATTCTATAATGGTTTTATTTGAACTGCTTAATATTCAATACAAGCTGTAAGTTAGGCTTGCACTTGTTCAAGTACTTAATTGGCAGTTGCTTTACCAAGTGCATACCTTACCATTCCTTCGCCTTGTTGTTCTTTGCTCTAGTCCTTTCTCCCATTCTACACTGTTATTTTTCTGTTACCATTTGAAGGGTTGCAAATACAACTTTCTTGTACTCCTGGAGTAGCAGACATTTACAGGCTGGTTGGTTAGATGAAGTTGAAAATCTCATGTTGGTACCTCTTTCATCAATCACTGAGAACGGTGTTTGAAGTGAGGTTTTTCTTTCATTGTTTGTTAACTAGTTCTCTAATAACCCCTAAATCTTGGCATGTTCTGCCACGGAACTCACTGGTGGGTGATGCTGCCTTTCCAACAAAGCACAGGATCTTTATAGGGAAGCACTGAAGGGGTGAAGTTAAGAAAAACTTCATGGAACAACTTTGTATAACTTGCCAAACTAATTAGGTATGCTAAGCATAAAGCATGGAGAGTTAAAAATACTAATTAGGAGTTCTTAATCTGATTATTAATTATGATTACACCAGAGCTCATATTTTCAATTTGGCATTTCCTGAAAGGAAGATGAAATGCAACAGTATATCTGGGTACATTGAAACATAGATGTTGGGATACAAACAACTAATTTAATTTTGAACTTTAACAACCTTTTATCTCTGAAAAGCTTAGTGCTTGGAAGTATCTGTAACTTCTTTCAGTTTTCTCACTTCTGAGACAATGTGATCTTTTTAAAAGGCTGAGCAGTGATGATGCTAGTGTGTGCAAGTGGTAGGGGGAACAAGGTCTGTTGAGTGCCTTCTGACAGTTTAAGTCGCCTACTTGCTCTGACAGGCTGGCAAGGCTGACAAAAAGCTCCTGTCATCTCTCCCTGCAGTGTATCTGAGGTAAAACCAAGCTGGTTTTCTCCCTCTCCTTCTGAAGAATATGGGTTTTAATTCTCGCATGTGTCGTATTCATTTTGTCCTTCTCTCTCCCTCTCACATACTGTTAGAGCCTTCTATAACAGGGAAACACGTTTAAATATCCAAATGTGGAAAATCCAGAGTTAATATTCTCCACGTGTAAGAAGTACGTTGGTAAACAATGTGGAATTTCTGAGTGTGTGGACATGGAGACTAAATGCATGGTTATGTGCAACCTAATTTTTGGTCATTATTGTATATTACACTCCACTCTGCTTCTCAGTTGGATACATTTCTCACTATGCTATTCTCATATATTTGAAACATTCTCAGTATTATAAACCAGTTGTAACTAAATAGAGATTATGGCATGGGAGGTTAAGTTACTGAATTTGCTTTCTGCAGTAGGGGCAGGTGCGTTCTGATGTCTTGGAAATCTGGTAATAAATATATGAAACTCTGGTCTTTCTCCAGCACAAACCTCACTGGTAGTAAAACTTTTCCTGAATGCCTAACCTGGTTCTTTCTCACTTTCAACTTGAGAATACGACTTGTAAAAACGTAATATCTGATCTTCTAGATTTGTCTTGTTTTTTTAATGGCATGAGCATTTCTGTGCCTGGTTTTTGCAGTTTTTGAACCTTGAGACTTGAGACTGAGAGGGAGATGGCAAATATATCTAGTTTCAGATCTTCAGAGGTGTCAGTAAAAGGATCTGTATAAGTTGGTGCCATTTTCAGATCCGTATGGTCATTTCTGTAGGGAGTATTTTCCTGTTCAATTTTTATTGGAACAAGCTTCTGAGACACATTGTCCTTGGCTCATATTGGCCAGAGTAGTGCTCCCCCTGCCATGAACATCAGATAGGTTCAGCTAAGGAAATGACACACTGTTCGTACATGGGAAGCTGGATCTGTCTTTGTATAGATCTGGCTTTTGATGAGTGTCAGAAGCTCCTCTGTTTCATTGCTGTCCCTTCTCCCCAGAGAAGCTAAGTCCCCTGAATGCAGCTCAGTGTAGTTTAAGTGCCTACTTAATTACCTTTGCTTCATCATAAGTTGGATTATTCAGCAGTTTCAAGGTTTTACTTACCTTGCTCTTCAGAGCTGGAGAAACAATAAACATTTTTCCTCTTGCTTCCAGATATTCTGTAACTCCAGTTATTTCACTCAAAGCAGTTGTCTTGTTTCCTTGAGTTTAATTGGCTTCGAACAACTCTGTATTAATGTCTGTGACACGTGTGACAGAGGTAGTCAGGCATTTCCTAGATCTGGAGGCTGACTGAGATAAGGATGTGAAAATATGGGTTTGCTCTGCTAGGGTGAGGCTTGGTGCAAGTGCTGTGCCTGAAGAAGCAGAGTAAGGAAGACTTCTGGTACCTGAACTGGGCGAGTGTCATGGGGCAGCTGAAGTAGCATTCTGCTTAAGATGTAGCTGTATCATTAGACCGCTAATAACTCAACTTAGAGACAGTGAGCTCTTAAGTAATTTGACTAGTTCATTACAGGCTGCTCAACTGTCTTTCCCTTAGGGGCTTTTAAGTCAGGGATAAATGGGGAGAAATCAGACTGTCAGGCATTCTGTTAAATGGGGAAGCTGTTTTGGCAAAAGCAGTAACTGCTGTCAGCTTATCAGATGAGATAAGTTCAGGTGAAATATTCCAGTTACATTTGCACGTTAAATCATCATGCACTTGATGCAGCAGGGAGCAAAATTATCTTTTTGGTATCACTTAATGCCTATACATGATAATTAATCCTGAGTTCCACTCTGATTTGAACTGTATTAATCATGGCACCCTGTGCTGATGGTAAAAACCTGTTATTGGCAAGTGGGAGAGTTTGGCCTGGCAACAATAGTGCAAAGTTTTTTGTGTGTCCTGTTCAATCTGGCCGTTAACTATGCAAGAGAAACATCGTCTCCTTATCCCTTGTCTTTGCTGGTGTTCAGAGGCAATACCCAACTTGTCGTTTTTAGTATTAGGAACTTGTTTTGGGAAGGTAGTCCTGCTTGGAGCGATGTTCTTAATGATGCAAAGTTTAAAGGAATCAAATCATTAAATTCTAACAGCACTTACATGTATCACTTTAAAGAAACAGTGTATTAATCACTACAGATGAAGCAGGAACCTTTCATGTGCTTCATGGCACAGCATTTTACTGAATTATAGGGATGGGTTGTTGTGACTTAAAGCACCTTCAAATTCCTTCTATGAACAACAGAGAGAAGCAGGTTTTCAGAGCAGTGCAGAGCAGCTTCAGTGCCTGAAGTTAAGCAGTGGGAATAATCTTTCGTCTTTCAGATTTGTGAACCTAGAATCTCTTGGCTTCATTTTACAGGAGTTAATTCCAAACTTCTGTTATTTCACTAAAATAAGATCTAGGTGAAATCTAGATACCCTACATTTAATGTATATTTTATTTGTGACCTTACTGGTCACCTAAAACACAGTGCATTAGTTTCCACAACCTGCTAATCTTCTAGGCAGGTTAGGCCCAGGAAAGTTTGCTCATGTCTCGTGTAGTTAGAGCAGCATATTACTTTTTTCTTGCTCTGTTAGCAGCAGTGCTGATGGGAACTGGGGATCAGAGGTCATAAATAGAAGAGAATGGTTGCAGTATCCAGTCTAGCTGACAATGCAGAGGTAGATCACGTGTGATCTTTGTTCATGCAAATGTAAAGTAAAATGCGGTGGCTTAACCTCTGTAGCTCAAACGTTCTTCAGTATTCATACAAGTGCTACTGAAACCATAGTGAATCTGATTGCAAACTTGTCTATTTTTCCTCTGGCTGGTTCAGGGTAGTGGCGAGAACTGGCAGTTGCTCCCATTGAGTAAACTACTGGACTGGACTACCCCATCTTTCTGCTTATGCTGTAGTAGTGAGCTGTTGTCAGGCAGGGATCCATCTCTTACCTCTGGGCTCAGGTGTGATGCCTCATCTCTCAGGTTCCTGAGCTATAAACTTCCTTTCAACAGGCAGACTTTTAGAATAAAGTGCTCTCCAATGCATTGATTACCTGCATGGAGAGTATGAGTGTGTTGGTGGACGCTAAACAGTGGGAGTTGGGATGTATCACTTGAGCATGATCAAGTATGGTTTGGGAAGTGGAGGTGTTGTTTTTATTGTGCATATCCTCTCCGGTTTTCACACTGTGATCATGTTTACTGCCATAAGATCTCTACGCGTTGCAAAAACACAGTTTAGTATTTCTTGAGCTTGTGATAACATGGAGCAAATATTTTGCAAATATCAAAGATCCTCAGTTTGCATTTTCTTTTTTCAAAGAAATTGCTCATTTTCAAGTGTTACACTGAAAAATGTGTCACCAAAGAAGTAACTTTTTGATAGTTTACTTCTGATTAGTATTACTTTAAAGATTTGATTTTCTGATAGGAAAAATTGGTTAAGCATTATTTATGTCAGTCATTCTGACATATGCTGGGCAAACATTCAACATGTGTTGAAAGCAACAAAATTCTTTGTGGCAACTAAACCTTTTGATTAAATATGAAACCACTTTCAAGCCATGTTGCATGCAAAGTCAGGTGATCTTTTTCAATTCACAAAAGGGCTT